CCCAGACTCCGAATCATCCTTACTAGACCTCATATTGACCCATTATGAGGATGACGTCAAGAACCTCGATTATATATCACCCTTAGGAAAAAGTAAACATATAGTTCTAATCTTTGGTTTCCATATAGTTGTCATAAACAAGCATGTATCAGCCCAACCTAGGCCAACGTCTAGGAGGCAAATAAACAAGGTATTATACACACAGCATCCGCAGTAGATTGGTCAGTAGAGCCAGAGTCCCAGTCGAAACGGCTTTGGTCCGATAAACTCCCTACTGCGATTCAATAAAGAGGTTAGCACTCTTCTCCACAAGAGAAGAATGTGGGAGAGATTTAAGTTACTGGGTACTGACAAGAAAAAATCTCAATATCGAGAAGCTCAAAATATTTGTCTTGACCCGCCGCAAATCTAGAAGGTTGTACGAAGAAAAAGGTCGTTAAGGAGTCCATAAAATATCCTAAACACTTATATCCGTACATAAACCAAAGGACTAAGAGAAGAGAAGATATCCCAGCATTATGGGGAGACGGTAGTACTGCATCATTAGTGGAGGACGACTATGGTAAAGCTCGGGTATTCTGAGACCATTTAGCAGTGTATGTGCTGTAGAGATGCCTTTCCCTTCAGTTCATACAAGCCCCACTACACGCACATTGGACAATGTAACCACTAAAGAATTCGATGTCTTTGGTCTGCTAAATGGGTTTGGTATCGACGAATCTATAGGACCCAATGAAATGCATACTAAGTTACCAAGTAAACTAGCGAAGTTTGTTGCGAATCCCTAAAGCGTATGTTTTAGCTTATCTGTAACCCAGGGTTGATTGCCAAAAGACTGGAAGAATGCTATCGTAAGTCCTGTTTTCACAACAGATACGAAACATAAACCTGAGAACTATCGACTCGTAAGCCTAACTAGCGTGGGTGTTACAAATTCAAGAAATATCATTCGGAAGTTGTTGAAGTATCTCAACGAAGACCGTATTTTTTCTGAAAAGAAGCATGGCTTTAGAACAGGTTACTCCTTTCACTAACTTATTAGTAGATTGTGAAAGCTGGTGCGCTCTTAAAGGTCGAAAATCACATACAGACGTAGTCTTTATTGGCTTTAGCAAGGTTTTTGACGAAGCTCTTCACAACCGGCTGTTACATAAATTAAGTAATATCGGGGTTGAAGGTAATTTATTAATGTGGATAAGACCCTCTGAAACAGTTGCTATGTCACATCTGATTGGTTCATCCATAAGTTATAATTTTACTACTTTGAAATTACTCTAAGTCAAACACCTTAGAAACACTTTAGAGAAAAATACTATGTAGCGGCTACCTAACACATAGAGCTCAAATTGCACAAGTAACCCGTACACAACTCCGCCTGTAGCTCTTCTAGAGTTACTGCCGGTCCCAAGCCCGGGTAAAGGAGGAGGGTTGGGCATGGGGTTAGCGACCCCATCCCGTAGAAAAGCTAACTCGCTAAAAAACGCTAACCAGAAAAAATAATCCAAACCATTTAAACTCTGCCCTGGGAGTTGAAGGAATAATGACGTCTCATGATGAAAGCCGAAGTTCTTCGGAAGTCACGAGACCGATGCACCTTCTAACAACCAGAGCAACACTCTTTATAGGTACATGGAACGTCCGGACAATGTGGGAAACAGGAAAGACCAGCCAAATAGCAATGAAAATGAGGAGATACAACTTGGCAGTACTCGGAATCAGCGAAACCCATTGGACACAAACTGGACAACAAAGGCTAGGTACAGGAGAGATGCTGCTGTACTCCGGTCACGAAGGGGAAAATGCGCCACACACTCAGGGAGTTGCTCTAATGCTGTCCAGAGAAGCACGAAATGCACTTGTGGGATGGGAATCTCATGGACCCAGGATAATCAAAGCATCATTCAGAACAAAGAAGCAAGGGATCACAATGAATGTTATCCAATGTTATGCACCCACCGATGATAGCAACGACGATGATAAAGATCAGTTCTATGAAAGGCTGCAATCAATTATAGCAAAGTGCTCACGAAAGGACCTCACCATCCTTATGGGAGATCTAAATGCTAAAGTTGGAGTGGACAACACAGGATATGAAGATGTAATTGGACGACATGGACTAGGAGAGAGAAATGAAAATGGGGAGAGACTTGCAAACCTATGTGCTTTCAACAAATTGGTTATAGGCGGCACAATATTCCCACACAAACGCATACACACAGCTACATGGATCTCACCGGACCACACCACAGAGAACCAGATTGATCACATCTGTATCAACAAAAAATTCCGAAGATCAATGGAAGATGTGAGAACCCGGAGAGGAGCTGACATAGCTTCAGATCACCACCTGGTTGTGGCCAAGATGAGACTGAAGCTAAAGAAAGACTGGACAACTGGACAAACAGCACTACAAAGGTTTAATACAGCCTTCCTTCGAGATACTGACAAACTCCATGAATTCAAGATAACTCTCAACAACAGGTTCCAAGCTCTACAGGATCTACTGAAAGAACAAGAAACTACTTTGGAGGACAACTGGAAAGGGATAAAAGAAGCACTAACTTCAACGTGTCAGGAGGTTCTTGGTCCTAAGAAGCACCATCACAAGGAATGGATCTCTATGGGGACCCTGGACAAACTTCAAGAAAGGAAGAACAAGAAACTAGCAATTAACAACAGCCGAACACGAGCAGAGAAAGTCAAAGCACAAGCAGACTACGCAGAAGCAAACAGAGAAGTGAAGAAAAGCATTAAAGCCGACAAGCAGAAATACATGGGAGAACTAGCAACGGCGGCGGAAAAAGCTGCAACAGAAGGGAATATGAAACAACTATATGATACAACGAAGAAATTGGCAGGGAGATATAGCAAACCAGAGAGACCAGTCAAAGACAAAGAAGGAAAGACAATCACTGAGATTCAGGAACAGAGGAAAAGATGGGCAGAATACTTTGAGGAACTGCTGAATAGACCAGCCCCATCGAATCCACCGAACATCGAAGCAGTACACACTGACCTTCCAATAGATGTCACTCCACCAACGATCGAAGAAGTCAAGATGGTCATCAGACAAATCAAAAGTGGGAAGGCGGCAGGACCTGACAATATACCAGCAGAAGCACTGAAGTCAGACATTGAAATAACTGCAAACATGCTTCACCTTCTATTCAAAAAGATTTGGGAAGAGGAACAAGTGCCAACGGACTGGAAAGAAGGATATCTCATCAAGATACCAAAGAAAGGAGATCTGAGCCAATGTGAGAACTACAGAGGCATCAGTTTGTTATCAGTACAAGGAAAAGTTTTCAACAGAGTGCTGCTGAATCGGATGAAAGACGCAGTAGACGCCGAACTTAGGGATCATCAGGCTGGATTCCGTAAGGATCGGTCGTGCACAGACCAGATTGCGACACTACGGATCATCGTTGAACAATCAGTTGAGTGGAACTCATCACTATACGTCAACTTCATCGACTATGAGAAGGCGTTTGACAGCGTGGATAGGAGAACATTGTGGAAACTTCTTCGACACTATGGAGTTCCTCAGAAGATCGTCAACATTATCCAAAACTCATACGATGGATTACAGTGCAAAGTGGTGCATGGAGGACAGCTGACAGATGCATTTCCAGTAAGGACCGGAGTCAGACAAGGCTGTCTACTCTCCCCATTTCTCTTCCTTCTAGTGATTGACTGGATTATGACGAATTCGACATCTGAAGGGAAATACGGAATACAATGGACTTCTCAGAATCAATTAGATGATTTGGACTTCGCAGATGACCTAGCCCTCCTCTCTCATACACACGACCAAATGCAGATGAAGACAGCAAATGTAGCAGCAGCCTCCGCATCGATAGGCCTCCACATTCACAAAGGAAAAAGCAAGATTCTCAAATGCAACACGGAGAACACCGACCCAATCACACTTGATGGCGAAACTCTGGAAGAGGTGGAAACATTCAAGTACCTGAGGAGCATCGTTGATAAACAAGGAGGATCGGATGCAGATGTAAAGGCAAGGATTGGCAAAGCAAGGGCAGCATTTCTACAATTGCAGAACATATGGAACTCAAAACAACTCTCAACCAATTTCAAGGTCAGAATCTTTAATACGAACGTCAAGACAGTCCTACTGTATGGAGCTGAAACGTGGAGAACTACTACGGCCATCATCAGGAAGGTACAAGTATTTATAAACAGTAGTCTATGCAAAATAATCAACATTCACTGACCGGATACTATCAGCAACAGCGTTTTATGGGAGAGGACAAACCAGCTTCCAGCTGAAGAGGAAGTTAGGAAAAGACGTTGGAAGTGGATCGGACATACATTAAGGAAATCACCGAACTGCATCACGAAGCCATCCCTAACTTGGAATCCGGAAGGGAAGCGGAAAAGAGGAAGGCCAAAGAACACACTACGCCGGGAAATAGAAGCCGATATGAAAAGGATGAATAGCAACTGGAAAGAACTGGAAAGGAAGGCTCAGGACAGAGTTGGATGGAGAATGCTGGTGAGCGGCCTATGCTCCTCGACGAGGGGTAACAGGCGTAAGTAAGTAAGTAAGTAACCCGTACACGCGGTAATGCGATAACTGTCCAGTTTTGCCACACGTGGCTGATAAATTGCTTGTTTTTTGAGGAATGTACACCGTTTGAGTTCTCTAGTGGTAAGCACATAAAATCTTGCAACTAAGTAATTAACTTGTTAAGTCCAACTTAGCATTGATTTATGTTAGTATTTACCACGCTTTTCATACGAAAATACGCAAACAGTTGATTTTTCGGCCTCCCTAATGAAAGTAGCTATCAGATTTGCATTAAACTAGCGCAACATTTATATTCAGGTTTAAATTAAATGTCTATTCCTCATATCAAAACACGACATGACAATTATTAATATATATGAGTAATAACAATGATTACTTTAAGGAGTTATACATTTAGTAAGTCGCTTTGTGTTTAAAAACATGTCGAATAAGTCTCAGTGACACTTACTTCTATCTCATGCTACAACTGATCGCCTTTTAAGGCTTACAAAACGCACGTTCCAAAATTAGCGCGCTCCAATATCTACTGTCATTGTGAAAGACAGGCTTTAATCTGTTATTCTTCTTATAGTAGTGCCTTGATACAAGGAGAACCTTCCAAATTGTTCTTTAAAATCTTCGATTAAACGACTTGTTATATATATGTAGTTTATTGGAGATTGCTACATTCTGATGTTGTAGGGTAGAGCTATATCACACTCTCATAGCAAATATTCATGTAAATCTATTGACATGATTTTCACCATTTCTGGCGTTTTCGTGTAGTATGACAGACTTAGCCTCGTTCTGTAATATGTTTCAGTCATTTTGTGATTTTGTTAAAGCTTTTAGTGTTACAGTCAGCAGATATTTTGCAAATTGCTAAAACTATGTTATGTCTATACTTGATTTACATCAGTCATGTTACTCCTTGCATCATTTTGGTGTCAAGGTTAGCTACGCTCGCTTTTAAAAAGTCAGAATTCAGCCCGTCATGACAAGTTGCTTTTAGACTCGTACGAAATGTTAACAATATTTGTCATAATTTGTATACTGGATTCTGGTTTGATTGTAATAACTCGGCCTTTCTTTCCAACTGAGTTTTGTAAATAAAGCACACTGTTCCTTTATTTTCCGATTTTTCCTGTTCGTCTTAATAAACATTGAATTTTTTGATGTTCCGTTCTTTTGACTGTGGATGTACGTAGACAGTGATGATGCGAACGGATGTTCTAGTTTTACAACTAGCTACCAGTAGCACCTTCTATATTCGATCGTTCCCAGTCAGATAGAAATCAGAAGTCAGACGAGGAGAGATAGGAAAGATATATTTGATGCGTTACCAATATATAGAGGAACCTTTACTATAAGCTGGCTAATGAACGTAGGAGCTGTGTCCCACGCCGAGTTGAAACGTGATCTGGTACGGATGCATGACCAAAAGCCTTCAGCTTGTAAGATCATCTACGTTGATGTTCTACGTCGAAATGATTGGGGGCCCACTATAGTTAGACGAGAATGGGGACGAATCAACTAACGCTGAAGACACACCTCGCGACCAGCCCTTACGTGGATTGAACCATCGACGCATCAAAGGACCAAGGATGCTATAGAGACTATACAACACAAAGGACGTTATTACAAGAATATATTAGTTAAGGTACAAACACGAAGGTGCAGAAGTGAAACAACAACCACTGCCGCGTGGGCCAGTCCATGGCATATCATTGATTGATGCGCGTTGACTATCCTTGATCTTGACAGGGATCAATGGTCTGTTCGATATTCCGTGACCCTACAAGCTAAACAAATCCACTTAAACAACATGGTCCGCATCCAATGTCGAACACTTAATGAGATATTGATTTTGGGGAATTTTTTACAGCTACAACAGGATATATGATTTAAGAAGTCTTTACGAGAAAGACCACTTGTGCTAGGTTTATCGACTTATCGATTTTAGTTTATTCGATGAAATACAGTCTGTAATGTGGTTGTAGCTGCAAATAAATTCCCAAAATCAATGGCTCTGTAAGTGTTCGACATTGGATTGTAGTATATGTTGATATGTTAAGCTCATATACTTCTAGCTTCTGGACAAGCCAATTCACATATCTATCATGTGTCATGTTTTCACCTAGTCAAATAATCACTTATTAACGCCGACTATTTTTTTTCTATGTCTGTCATTTATTCTTGTCTGACTATAAATATTGATTAGCGCTTGATTAACGTGAGTTGGCTTACCCGCCATCGCCAATGCGTATGATTTTTGGTTCGCTCGCTGATATTCGCTCATTTGCTTATAACATTCTGGCCTGTGTCATCTGTCAATAAAACTGTAGCTGCCGCTTCTCATTGCCTTCTGATTTTGTGCACCGTTAAGGTTTGTATTCTAGCGGTTATCGAGGTGAACGATTAACGAAGCACGGCACTATATGATGGTGACCACATTCGTTTTAGTGGACCCATTTAGCTGACGACGCTTGGTCGTGCATCCGTACCAAATCACGTTTCATGTCGGTGTGCGAAGCATCGCATACGATCATTAGCCACATTAGTTCAGTTGCTTCTCGATAAATTGATAACCCATCAAATATATCTTACAAACTCCTCGCTTCTGACTTTTGATTTTACTGGGTGTTACTGTTAAAGCGTTGTCAAACTACAATACTGGTAGTATCTTTATGGTTTTAAAATAGGAGTACGCTACATATGCTGGAGCTTGTTTTACCGGGAGTTACCAATAGATAATTGATCTCTTACAAAGAAGGAAGTCACTAGAAAACGGGACGTCTATTCAAATTATCAACTCAGTTTGTGCGTCACTTCTCCTATCATCCTTTACATGTTTCAAATGTTTGTAATGAAAGAAGCCCTCGCTTCATGGGCTTCCGTATCCTATTTCATTAGAACATCCAGGTGGGGGAGAAGATACATCAAATTATTAGTTAATGTTGGTAGATTTAGTAAATTAGCATATGATATTACATCAAAGAAATACCATGGCCTCTTCTAAGTATCTCTTTATAAAGTGTTTGAACGATTCCATATGACGTAATATGTCAGTAACTAACTGCTCTTGTGCAACAGAAAATATGTCTATAATCTATAGTGATGGCGTGTAAAAACATGTTTTATGTTGAATTAGGTTGAACTCTTAGTCACAGCAGCGTAAAAGTATTAGTCTTTTGTGCTCAGTGTCCTTCTTTTTCAGGTATTTTAAAACACTTTTCTGTGAATCAATTTCATATTTGTCTTTACTCTAATGTTTAAAGAATATTTTGTGTTTTTCTCTGTTTGTCCAACTAACAATTTCAATGACACAAGCAAAATACGATTGTGGTAGACCCACAAAATTCTTCGCAATAAGGGATGGAGTGGATAGTGACAACTGAAGTAAGTGGCACCACTATATGGGCATCGAGCCCGAACCGCTTGATTTAGGAAGTGTTGAAACCACTGTCATGTTGGCTACGCAAATTATGCTATTGTACAAATCCTCGCAGCTTTCAGATCTAAATGAAACAGTGGGCATAATTAAAAGTTCAGCATTATATATGGATAAAACCATCACGGTATACCCTTATTACGTAGAAGATGGAAAACACACAGATGTAGGTAAGGTTATAAGGAAAAAGATAACACCCAGAAAGGACACACAAGTTACTGCAGGGAACTCTTAAATGTGTGAGTCAACGGTTTCAGCTACAGAACCCGATATTAACACAAAAAGGACAAGGTAGGAGTAAATCCTGGACTTTTTAGAAGTTTTAATTAAGAGACTAAATAAAGTCAATGATTAGCTTGTAGTAGTACCTTGAAAATCAAGCAAATATGTCAGACCTGCACATCCTATGCCGAAGCGGAATTAATGGATGAGAAAAGTATGGGAAACAAAACTCCAAAATATATTCAGATGGATCTCACAGACAGGTCAGTCATTTTTCACGAGTTAAAGTATATTTGAGTCCCCGATGATACTTTATGCTGATGGTGAAGAATTTGGCAGGAAATAAAGGGAGACGCAGATGCACTTGAGTCGGACTCAGACTTTATTGGCCCTTATATCTGACCCCAGTTTAAACATATGCTGATTATCATCGAAATTTACATACCAACGACCGTCGTATACTTTAGCTGACCTTATTCGTGTTGGAGAATAACGGGTTCATATATTAAGCACACTCATCCGGACAGACAATCGAAGAAACGAAGCGAAGGAGGTGTAACGAAACGAAATGACGCTCAGTGGAGGAGGCGGGTGAGCCAGATCATTCTGATCAAGGGTGATTCAATATCTACATTCAGACAAAATAATTTTCAGAAGCGTAATGAATAGGGCAAACAATTGACGCACATACGATCATATAACAAACAGTCAGGGTTAATAAGTGACAAGATAAAAAACGTGGCTCGGAAAGGATGAGTAAGCTGACCTGTTCAGATTTTCGATCATGATTTGATTCGTTCAACATATTTTCCACAGATTTGTGAGAAATTCCATTAGAAATATGTGAATCATTAGGACAAACCTTATCTAGTACAATAGCATGAGAAATCCGATAAGAAGTTGATTGACTAGATGCTTTTGTCTCACAAAGACTCTGAGTTTCACTTAACTCTGGACTGGTTATGGATCTACGCTGTTCTTTGAAGTCTTGGATAAGGATAAATGATCTTTAAAAACACTCAACGTAGTAGGACTAGAATTACAAATTTATCATCGCTTGCAGCGAAATGGAAAATAGTATTAAAAACTGCCTGTATGTGTCCAATCACACCACATTTAAGACATTTAGCATTACGAAATACGCATGAATTACATGGGAGGAACTTGTCACAGAACAAGCATTTACCAAGCTTGTGTTCATCTTCGTACTTGCATCACAACTCCTCAATGGATTATCTGCATAACGTTGAGTACACATTGGATTAGGATGACGTAGTAACGTAGTGGAACTATTGATGTCCTGGTGAATCATTTTACGACACTCTCTCCCTTTACCGCATTTGAAATTTGTATACTTTACGTAGTCTAGCAGTAGTTCCTTGAGAGTTGCAAAAGGAAGTGAAATGGGCCTTTCTGTAAATGCCAAAGTTCTTAATAAGATCTATGCTACGACTGTAAGGAAACCAGCCACAATATTGATGTAGAACATCAACGTTGATGATCTATGTCGAATGATTGCAGGCCTACTCAAGTAAGACGGGAACGGTGTGACGAACAAGCTAACTTCGAAGTCACACCTCGCGACCAGCACCTTACATGGATTGCCCCATCGACGTATCAAACGACCATGGATGCTCTGAAGACTGTACAACACAAAGGACGTTACAGGAATGTATTAGTTAAATGCGAAGGTAGAACCGCTGCCACATGGGCCAGTCCATGGCGTATGATTGACTGATGTGCGTTGATTGTCCTTGACCTAGACAGGGATCGATTATCTGTTCGATATTCAGTGACCCAACTGCCGTATGATTTGGCTAGGGTTCAGTGACATTTCACTGGCCCTACATTAACATCCTCAACATCTTCCTTGGTCATAGCCCAGATTCCGAAATTTTCCATGTGATCTTCAAAAGCATCAATTGTTCCATCACAGGCTCCTTCGCGAAGCCAGTGTGATGATTAAGAGTATTTGAATTATAGTACAAACTAGGAATCCCAGAAATAACGCAATTCAACCGAGAAGTACTAGATGAGCACGAACGAAAGTATTGTATTTGGAATTCGAAATTAGACAGTCATCAAGTACAAAGGAATCATTAGTTCATACAGACATTACAATGACCTTATCAGAAGACTGAGTATTCTTAAATGGAATGATATGACCAGGCTAAAAATAGCTAGTTGTTTAGATGTGAGCCAAACCAGTCGATTGATGATGAGTTTATGTCTGCTACAGCTTGTTGATAAGATAAATCTGTGTATATGGTTTAACAGAGACTAATTATATAGTAAAGGGTTTGGTTGACCACTTTACCAGAATGTTAAGTGATGACTAATGAAGAAGTTTTATCTTCTAAATGCTTCAGAAAAAAGGAGGGAAGCTTTGATTGATGAAGATAACGGGATAGGAAATAGAAAAGGTGTGTGACGATGTTACGGTTATTCACTGTTTGGCAACGCTTTTATCCGTAACACCTTTGTGATTAAAAGATCCCAAACCCGGTCAAACCAAAAGTCAGGAGTTAAGGAACTCGATAAAACACTAAATAAGGAATAAACATATTGTAAGGATGGCTCGTCGGAAAACTCAAAGAAGCCTCAAGAAGCCTAGAAAGAGCCGAAGACATTCCATCCAGTCACCACTAGGGGAATATTCTAGAATGTCGACGTGTAGCTTCCCTATTGAATGAATAAGAAGGACCCACTCCGTGCCTATTGGCTGTCCGAAATGATGATTCACTTTCGGCAAAAAACTATAAATACATGAGATTTTTGTACTATACTTGACACTGTTTGGGGAATAAAAATTCCTACTTACTAGCCTTCTGTCTTCTCTCTTGAGACGTTGCGGGTTCGATTGTTCAAGTAGTCTAGTAGTACGCAGCATAGCAAGAATCAAAGCTCTAGATATAACACATATACTCAGATAAATGTTTTATTTCACCGTGATAAAATGACAAGATGTAGATTATAGGAAGAAGTGGGAATGACTGTGATATTATGCAAACTATAGATACATAACAGAGGTTGAAGAGCTGTCTTATTTATAGAATCGAAATTGTCAAAAAGACCAACAATTAAACTATTCACATTGACTGAATGATTATAAGAAGAAGAAATGAAAATGAGATGATAGTAACAAAAATTTAAGTTATACACTTTTTACAGATTTCAAATGAATAAACAATAAGTAATATTGTTTTAATAATAAGTATAATTTTGTTATATCCTAACGAGTAGAAAAATGGTATATCTGATGTTTCGTGACTTAATGTTGGCCACTTCTTCAGAGTAAACAAATAACTGACGTTAAATTAACATATTATTTAAAGTTGTGTTAATCTAATGTCAGTTATTTGTTTACTCTGAAGAAGCGACTAACACTAAGTTACGAAACATCAGGAACTATCAAATCCAACCATGGTATGGATACCTATAATATTTTTTTTGTTTTTATTGCTCTCTGCATTAAAAAATTACGGTAAAATAGGATTCAGTGTACTCTTTTCTGTATTATAACCAATATCAGTTTTATTTGATTTTATAGTTGTATTATTAATTTGACCATTATGTTTATATGAATTCATCTGTCTGTCCAGGTTTCTAGAACCCAATTCTAGTTGATTAATATCATTAGTTTCAACTATGAAATCAGTCTTTTCATTATCATTATTCATTTGTAAATATAAACCATTTTCCTCTTCTATTTCTTCATTATCTATAGAACAAACACTAGTATTTTCATTAACTACATCAATATTAAAATCATTATTTGAATCTTTAAATGATTTTTGATCAAAATGTGACTCTCGTTCTTCATATTCTTCATCATCTCCTTCTATATCATTCTCATCATCTTCTTCGTCGTCTTCATCATCGTCATCGTCATCGTCATCATCAGTTGAAGAGTGCACTTTATCTGGTCTAAAATGTTTCCATTTTCTTAGTTCTAATGAAACACAATTGTCAGTACGTTTTTCCAGGGTAGTATTATTATTGGAATTAGTCGTAGTAGTAGGAGGAGGAGAAGTTGGAGTAGTAGCATTACTGACGGAATGTTCATTCGATTTAATCTTTTTATGATTTTTACTTTGTGAAGGTGATCCTATGTGTTCAGCTACTGCTTCTGGATGTGCTTCTCTTATATGCGCTTCAACCATCCACTTTCGACGCTCAGGCATTTGTTTTGAACATATCGGACAAACCTATAATGAAACGAATAAAACATTTTGTATCTAGTCAGTATTGAAAGAAGCCTGAAATGAATAAGATGTACATATTGATACGCCAACCAAAAACAAACAAACCATACAATGTCTCAACGTAGCCTGCTGATTGAAATGCAAGAGTGGGCTGACTATTGTGAGTGGCATACTCAACTAGTCAAGGTGATTGCCTGCATGTCATTATTCGAGTTGACCTGACAACCCATGAATAGAGATCAGGTGCGAATGTTATGCGGTCTTCTAGAAATAAAAATTCCTACACAATCTCTTTTTACTCTCTCTGTATAGTTGAGTTTGTCGAGTGTTAGGATTGTGCACAGAAGACCAAATCTTATAAATAGCAATAAAATAATTACACTGAAGACTAAGTATCCCAAAAGTTAACTTCGCCAATAACATTGAATTATTAAACAGTAGTATTGGTTCTCATCAGTAATTTTTCCTTACAAGAACTTAGAATCGGTAATATAATTAGCTAAATACAATCCCAAACTGTTAATGAGACTCTGTAGTTAACATCAAGGATTGGCTTTAGACAAGCAACAGTTAAAAAACTAGAAGGTACTGGATAGATGTCTCGTCTCATTATAAGGCTCATCGGCAGCGTGTATCAACAACCCCACCAAGGATCAGCCAATGACACTCAGATCTCATGGCGAGCGCTTAGGCTTCAGATCAATGTGCTAGCATTTCAAAATCACCCATCGGACAGTAATTATAGTCGATAGTATTACTACAACTTGACTAAAGGACAATACCTATGTTAAATAATCAGGAGGGGAGGTGAGACAGTACTCTAAGATAATATGTGCCACACAAGTAATTATGAAGAGGAAACATTTGGAAATGCTTCAGCACTTATTCTCCCTGAAGAACAAATCTGGTACGTATAAATCTGAGCTATGTTAATCAGTAAAAGTACTATTATTTACGACCGTCGAGTAAATGCAATATTCAACTCTCCCTTGGTTTGGATTTAAAATTAATAAAAATATTTTAGCTTAAGTATAAATTCATAAGCGAAATTATTATTGTTTAATGAATATATAGTACATTGGTTTTTAACCCATATCGGTAACCATTTACGTCATTAAAAATTTTACCACTGATCAAAACTCTTCTCTGTAAAAATAAATTTTCTCTGTTCTTATTCTAAACAAAATCCTACTCAATTATTAGAACGAACTTTCTAGAAGCACGCAAACTTTGTATGGAATAAACCATCAGGGATTTTAAAGTCTTGGCAGCTTATAGTCTATTGTTCAATTTTGCAATTTACATAGATAGTTAGGCTCATCTGAAACTCGAAAAATCATACACAAATATGTAGAAAAAACGTGAGAGCTGAAACAATTATATATCGGGTCAAATTGTTGCCTGTTTCGGTTTGGGCACCCGGGCAGTTTTCAGTCCTCAAAAAGATCGACTGATTTGTGTGGCGCATATATGTTTGGTGCCTCCTTATACCAATGTTTATGTGTCTAAATAAATAAATAAAAATCTGGAAAGTAATTTGAGGTGAGACTATAATTTATGGACGACCCTTGAGCGACGCTGAAGTGACCTTGAGAATGTCCACCTACTAACAAGAACTAAATGAGGGTCAAAGGCCAGTGCGATAAATTGAAATTATGATTTACAGTGGATGGTTAGAGATAGAAATTAGATTTATGGTTTTCATCACGAACTGACATCAGCTTAACTACCGAAACGCTATTTAACCAAATGGATGATTGAATTTGGCGCTAAATTCCAAGACCTGCTATCTTTTATCTGATTACTTCGTTCATAAATTATAGTCTCATTGAACTTGACAAGGTCAAGAAATAAGAGTGGAATTAATAATATTGACGGTATTGAAGAGCTAAATCAAAAAATTAAATGGAAGTAATATATAAAATCAGTATAAAGAAGAAATTCATTGGAGCCACTTTTAAGCCAAATCACTTAGAGTCTCTAATTGATAATCAAAGTGATTTCAAGGAAGCTAATCAAAGAAAACACAACTGGTTTGGTCATATTTAGCCCGATTTGAATTAGCTTCTACAAAAACCAACGTAACGAACTGAGTTAAGTAATAACTGTATGAGAGTAACATAGATTGCAAACGCTTTAGTTAAAACCTAGTACTCTACACTACAGAAGTATTACACATAAATCAAGCACTCAGTTAACCAAAAAGACTTGTGATACCTGTCACATAAATTGATGTGCAGATAACAGAAGTATTTTAGTTGTGACCAAAATATTTTGAATATGATATGCGATATAGCAAAAGAATGATAAGGTGAGAAATTATAGTTTAATGTATAAGATGTTCTATGACTGGAGTGACCTTTGTAAAACTATAAATCCAAATTTCAGGTTTTTTGGCATGAGAATTATCTACAATTTACATAAAACTCATGGTGACATAGGGCATGAAACCAAATTGTAGTATGGTCACTTTAATACCTCAAATGAATGGGCAAGAAATGAAAAACTAAGAACTGTATGTTGGTTTTAATAAACATGAAACAACAACATACAGTTATATAAGTGAAAATTTAATTTTCAATACAAAGTATCAGTCATCAAAATGATAATATGTTACCTGTGGATGTAGTTTCCTCAAATGTCCTTCCATTAATTTCAGCGAACTAAATGATTCACTACACTGTGGACATTTGTGTGGTGTAACAACATTATGTGTAGTCATACGATGACTTCTTAGGGCTTGTACTGTAGGAAAACCAGCTGGACACAGATTACATAGATATTTGCGACCAAATGTCACTGACCCTTTTTGTGTTAACTGTAAGATACAGTCACTGTTGAATGAATTACTTAGAGTTTGTTCAATTTTAGGTGATTGCATATTACTACTATTATTATCAATAGTAGTAGTATGGTTGTCATCTAAACTTTCATTTTGTCTTTGTGATAATACACGACCAACTTCAGCGGCAATATTTAAAACTTCTTCTTTGGGTGCATCAATTTTCATCCAAACATCAGTATCATTATCAATATTTTTTTTAATTCCATGCGTACGTAAATGTCGATTTAGTAGCGATTTAGAGGCTAAACAAAAACCGCACAATTTACATAAATAAGGGCGAACACCAGTATGCGAGCGAAGGTGTTCATTTAGATGAACTTTTTGCCTATAAGCTTTCGAGCATAGCTCACATTTGTAAGGACGCTCGCCAGTATGTGTACGTATATGTTTTTCACGAGCACTGGCACGACTAAATGTTTTCTCACATGCATCACATTTAAATTTGCCACTATTTGCATGACGATCCATATGTTCACGCAATGAACCTCGTCGCATTGTTTTACAACATACTGGACAATTGATAAACTGCTTTTCACGTTCCCGTGATTTGCATTGATGAAAATTGTTATCAGTGGCATTACCTTCTTCATCATCTTCGCCAGCACCTTCATCATTATCGGCATCACTGTTATTCGAGGATAAACCCCACATTGCTACATTAGGATTTTGTTGTTTAGCAGTAGGTGACAAATTAACCTTATTTCGATTTGGCATTGAGGCATTTGATTCTTCTGTTGCTTTTATGGTCGCTGTTGTTGTTTCAGTGAAATTTTCATTAGGTATCGTTGGTAAAGATAAACCAAGAGGAGCTATCGGTGGTGTTTCAGACGGAAAAACAGGTATCATCTGTCCAGAAGAGAGTGCGGCAACAGTGGCTACAGCAGCTGCCTGTGCAAGAAAAGCCGCTGTTTGTAAATTATTCAAACATTCTGTGGTGACTGGAACTGTTTCAGTTGAATTTTGGCAAGTTTTCCTGTGTTTCTGTTTCGGACTATTCTTATCAGTATCTGGAGGTCTTTTCAAAATAGTATGGTTGGGGTCATATTCAAGTATTCCATCATCATTATCTTCTTGTAAACTGTCATCATGATGACCATCACTGCTTTCGTCATGATTATTGCTGCTATGACTATCAACATCATTGGAACTTAAATCATCTTCAATATCATCAATGTTATCTTCATCGTTCGAGGATTCCTGTTTACTGTTTAGATTAAACTGTTGGGGAGTTGCTTTAAATCTTGGCATATCAGTAGTAAACAGGATAATCTGTATTGAAAAAAGGAAACATGTAAGAATAATGATTACTGGAGAGGAATGTTTACTCAGTCAAGAAGCAATTGATATATGAATTCTTAAACAGGATTTCCAGTTAGAATATTGTTAATATAAAGATTAATAATGATGTAGTTAACTCATTCATAAGGTGGTTGAATATGAGTCACACTGTAACTAGAAGGACTGAAGTTACTACACAGTTTCCCTAGCCGAAATAGGTGGATTGGAGTTCGAAGCCAGGACTAAATGGCTGAAAGCTAAACTCCCCAACCAAGAAGCCATTTGTTGATAGGTGTATCGCTTTTTGTCAGTAATGTGATCATATTCTAACCTCGAAATTAAAACTACTATCCGTTTATTACCTCTTGAAATCAGTGACTACATCGATATATACTAAGCTGCCAAGTTGAATGCTCTTTTACTTCAACATATGATGATTTCACTTAACCAAGATGATAATTAATATAACATAAGCAAAAATTTGAAATTATATATTATCATCACTAGTCAAATTATCAAAACTGTTAAACTTTATCCAAAACCCTTACATTCTTATCGGGCAATTTTTAAGTAAACCTCAAGCTTCAAATACTGTTTTACATTTCAATCATATGTTTTGAATATGATGACAACAAACAGAATGTGGGTAACATGTGTCATAAGGAGATTAATGGTACGACCCAGTTATCAGAACATTGATTTATGAAGTGAAGTGTTCACCAACTGGCCATGTCATCAATAAGTTATAATCTTCCCAAAGCACAATACAGAGAGTTTCAAATAATTGTGTCAATTAAATAAATGTGTGCAGCAACCTCCAGTTTGATAAATTTATCATTTGGTGTGAACCCCCCCCCTATTTCTCTCACATTCTCGATGGTAAACTTTCGATAAAACAAGATCAAGACAGAAAAATGATGAAGTCGGAAGAACCTTGGGTCAAAGCATTGTATAGGAACCTGTACGTGCTCAATAAGTTCCGTTTATTGATTAATACCATTTTGAAATAATACAGAAACGTGAATGCATGACAATTACCAAAAAAGGTTCGATCGTTACGTAAAATAATAACTGGGTGAGCTCTGTGCCCTAGTTGGATATCCGTTCACACATTCATATACATTTTACCATGACTGGGTGATCGTGGTTTCAAATTTTAACTGCTAATGCATTGCAGAACATATCGAAACTTGTGTTAAATGCTCCTTTTTTACTAAATGTTATTTGAATCACATGTAATATGAATAACAAATACACATAGATGAGAACCCTTAGTTAACTAAACATGAGTTATTTCCCAGTAGTGATGATTGTTTGATGAAAAAGTGATAGGTGGTGAAGGTCCTACAGAAAAAACATGACTTCTATATGCGAACCACATTTTCTTCAATGACCAACAGACGTAATACTGTATGTCGTTTATTCTAAGTTTTTAAAAATGGAAAAAACTAGAAACTTTTCTGAAGTTATATTTTCGGAACAGAACATCATCGTTAAAAGATGTATTACAGTTTACCGACTGTTAATAAAGTAACCAAAACACAAAAATAAAAAAACCAAGTGTATTTGGTTGTTATGGCTGATCGAAATCATCATTCACTGTGATTTCACCCCTTTATCATTATTCTATATACCTGGATTGTTGATTTTCACTCCTACCATTATTTTAAGTTTTGTGGTTATGTCAATGTTAGCCACATAATCCGAATATGTATATATATATTATTTTGTATCAGTATTTAACGTTTATTGATGGGACACAAAACTCTCTTCTGAAAGATCGTCTTCTGTCTCTCTCTCTTTCTATCTTCAACTGAGTGTGTGTTGTCCATATTGTGTTAATCTCTAACTTACCTAGTTCGACTATAATCCTTTTACATTAGAAAGGTCTAATAATTATTAAATGGTCAGATTTACTGAATGATATTTACTAAGATGATTAATAAGACTGATAGCCTTCGATTTTAGATCACAATACGATTGAGAATTTAAATTTTCACAACAAAAATTACTTTTATAAGCAAAGAGGATAGAGACTAACAGTGGAAACCAGGAAGCGCGTTTCGTCCTATTTGGGACTCGTCATCTGGATGTACCTGCATCTCAGAGTTGATGTTCACTATCCATCTTTGCTTACAATGCTTGTGAATTGAGGCTAAATAGAGGCAATTCACACAGTATACACATATGCCAATCAGAGACTGACCAGTTGAAGTCCTAAACATCAATAGGAAGATTCAAACAAACAATACTAATTGAATTTAAAAATTACTTCTATATAGTTGAAATCATGAGTCAATTGAAGTTAGAACACCATGGAAAACCTGGAAGCACTGGGCGGCCGTTTTGTCCTATTATGGGACTCCTCAATCGTCCAGTGTTTCCAGGTTTTCCATGGTGGTCTAGCTTAAATTGATTCATGATTTCAACTATATAAAATTACTAAAATCTCCACAAAACCCCCTTCTGATAAAAATTACTTTTCCCAAAAATTTATACATGCAAATTATCGAAGAAAATGTAAATTATATTCTATTGAATACATATGATAAACAATAAAACCGATGATACGTATATATATAAGCTCGAATAGAGTGGTTAATGCAGAAATCAACGTTCATTTAGTTAATATGTTTGTTTAAACGTAGGTGTAACTATCAATGATAAAGCTACCGATATCGGAAATATCCAAAAGTAACGTAGTATATTACACACAAAAATATTTTGAAGCCATGATAAGTGTAAAGTTTAATTTTATTAGGAAATATTGACTTTTAATTCGATAACCTGTTGACTGAAAATACATATGAATATAGGAAAGTGATGAATGTAGATAAAACGAAATCACTTCGAGTGATCTACCGTATACCTCCATCATTTCTCAACGGAGTTCGTTACTGTCTCCTTCATATAGCTGAAACTATAGGAATTCGTACATTTCACGCCAATTTATGTGAACAAAAGAAATTTGTAACCCTCTAATCCCTTCCATGGCCGGACATAGCTTAACAAATGACATTATTATTATCAATATCATTATTTTTTTTCTAATTTTATTTTTAATTTTGTTATCATTTTTAAACAGTTGAGATCATGAGTCAATTAGAAGCTAGACCACCATACAAAAACACTAATGACTGACTCCATGAGGTATTTCCTAGAGTTATAGTGAGAAGCAGTAACCAGTAGAGTTTAACCAGGTCTGTTGGGAGATATTAACTCACTGAAGACAATCGGGGAATAGTTGCTCAATTTCGTGGATTGGTTGAAGTTAGACATTAACACCGTTGGATGCCGGTCGGCTCAGTGGTCTATCGGTTAAGTGCTCTGGCGTGAGACTGGTAGGTTCGAAGCTCGCGAGGCGGGATCGTGGATGCGCACTGCCGAGGAGTCCCACAATAAGATGAAAAGACCGGCCAGTGCTTCCAGGTATTTCATGGTGGTCTAGCTTCAATTGACTCATGATCTCAACTATATAAAATTATTAAAATCTCCACAAAACCCCCATCTGTTATCATTTGTTTGTAATTTTCTACCTCTTTCCGTTTGTATTCTTTACTATCTATTTACTTACATACTTCTTATTACGTAATGATTTTAATGTTTTGTGATTACTATTCCAGACTATTTACCCACGTTTGACCTCTTAATTCTTATGTTTAATTATTGATAAGACTTTTGTTATCGTAATTTACTATTCTTACTACTATCAGTACACCTGTCTTCCCACTATCAACTTGTACTTTTAACTATTATGCTTATTGACGTATTCTATTTCATTGTGATTATCGACTCAAATAGCCTTGACTGGTTTAACATTTTCGTATAAATATTCATGTATATTAGAGTAAAGCCTGATGACGATCTAATTGAAAACAGTTGATGGCTTACATGTGGTGTTCTAATTTTCACGATATTCTAAAATAATGAATAATCGACTAGATGATTGTCTCCCTGAAAATGTCAGAAAATTATCTGAAGATTAGTATGATAGACTAGCATGTCCTATTATATATATTGGTACATCAAAGAAAGGCTTTTTAGGTTCAAGTTGTTACATTTCGAAACAGCACAAAAAGAGAAAATCAACAAAAATGGGGAGATATTAAAAAAACAAGATCAGTAGAAGGTTGATGAGGCAAAATAAATATAACAGATAGTAAGTAAACAGTGTGACTAAATCCAAGCTATTATGACCTATGACATTCAGAATTCCCAAATATAACGTTATGTCATCCCGATTACCACAATCAAGAGGTCTGTATCTTGTTTCATGAATCAGATCATAAATCAGTGATTTTACTTGGTGTCCTATCTATCTCAGGTCATCTTGAGTCTTTCTCCAACTTGTCCTCTAATTTATATACAATAATATAACAGATTATAACTTGACTTGGATTACATAAAATTTGTGAGAGTTATCATCTCATCAGCTGATCTACTTCTCTCTAGCCAAAACTCTAAATTTATCTCTACCTGGTGGTTCTACAACATGACAATAATCCTGTCACTTGTTGATACCCATTACAAATATGTACCTACAGCATACAAAAACGTATATCATTTTCTTATAATGTAAATCTTAGTTATTCGTTATCAAAGACAAATTAATAATCTTGAAAGCTTCTTTATCAAAAAAATTTATCTCAAAGCTGTCACCTCAAACATTTCATCCGACAACTGATGATTTAATAAATCATAAGCAACTGAATTCTCATTAACTTGTTTATTTACATCTACTTCGATTATTTACAGAGGATCGTCTCATAAATTCGTTCAGTTCGGTGTGTACCGATAAAATCATACTCTTCTATTGTACACTAGATGTACTCGGAAATTCACCATTATGTTTTACGGAATGATAACGAAACAGATTACAAATCCCAATTGGTAGCACATGAATAATTTACTTACGTTGAACTAATGCAAATAATAATTTTGTTAAATGCAACTTATTGAGATCATACAATCATTGTTGATTAGCATTTGAT